CCAGAAGATACTTCAAACGAGTTTAAATAAGCAAAGAAAAGGACGACCTTGATCAACCTACACATTTTCTTCTCAAACTGTTACGATCGAAAAGAACAACAATACATTTTATTCGCAATTGATTTGTGTATATATATATTTCTATTTACGTGTACTTCTGTATGTATGGATATGTTTATTTATGTATGTAAGGATACATGTATATGTGTGTATGTATGTATATGTATATATGTTTATGTATGTATATATGTATATGTATGTATATGCATGTATATAGTTGAATATGTATGTGTTTATGTGTATAGGCGTATATATATATTTGTAATTATGGGTATGTATATGTATGTATATATATCTATATATATATATGTGTGCATGTGTGCGTATGTGTGTGTGGATACCTATCATGTGAGCTTGTTTGTGTGTATGTGTAGGTATATAAACTTTAGTTTGTGTCTACAGGTGCGTGTGTATGTGTGTATACTTGTATATGTATATATTGTTGTATTTGTATGTATATGTATATTTATATATATATATATATATATATATATATATATATATATATATATGTATATATATATATGCTTGGATGTGTGTGTACTTATATATGTGTAAATGTGGATGTGTTGATATAGGTATTTATGCATTATTATATATTTGTAAATTTGAAGGTGTGTTCGTATTTCTTCGTATATGTATATGTATATATATCTTAGTGTCTTTGAATGTATCATCAATACTAATTAAATTTACTTTTGTTTGATAAGGGTTTGTTAATTGCTTATAGACTTAATCAAAAATTGTGTATTGTTACATTTTAAAATTATTATGGACTCCACTGTACTTTATCGTCAATAAGTTAATATTGTTAGAATGTGTAGGTTTATGTATGCATATACCTATTTATGTGTCTGTGTATATATATATATATATATATATATATATATATATATATATATATATATATATATGTATGTGTGTATATATGTATATATATTTTGTATGTTTTTTTATATATAAGCGTGTGTTTGTATATATGTATGTTTAAGTTTATATATGTATATACATACATATATTTATGTATGTGCATATATATATGTATGTATGTGTTTATATGTATGTGTATGTATGTATATATATTTATATTTGGTTTGTTTACTTTTTTAAGTTGCTGTGTAGGTTGATATATTTATGCTTGCTTCTGTATGTGTATAGATGCATATGTGTATGCGTATGTGTATCTGTGTACATATGTAGATATATATATGTGTATGCGTGTATATGTATATATTTGTGTATATGTTTATCTATAGGTTGGTTTTTCTGTACTTCTGTCTGTAGTGATGAATGTGTTTACACTGTACACATATATTTGTACGTAGTTCTTATTTTCTTTCACCTAATGTACAATATGGCGTATGTAGACATATATGAAAAATATATATTTTTATATATATTTGTGTGTTTAGAATTTTCGTTTTTTATATATTAGATGGTGTTATTTTTATATATATATATCTGTTTTAGTGTCCTTTCTTTCCCTATTGTTTGTTTCTCTGTTCTATTAGACCATTTTTATCTATGTATATATTTGCCCGTATAAGTTATATTTTAATAAGTGGTTAGAATACTTTTAATAACACCTTCAATCTTGAATATTTCTTAGGTGTTGTATCGGAGTGTCTATGTCAATGCATGTACGTGTCTTTATCGTTGTCATGTGTATAGCAACTTGCATGCATATTTCATTGTCATTGTGTATGCGCGTGGTTTTAAATTTTTTTTTTTTTTTTTGTAAAAGGTCGTGCAAATATTTCCTGTCTTGTCACTTTTTTTGTGTGTATATATCTAAATGTGTCTGCGTGCTTATGTATTATAATCTGATTGTGTATGTATTGTCTTTCTCAAGATGTCATAATCCCATGCCTACATGTTGTCATTAAGTTAAGAGCAGTCGATCTTAACGTTTATTCCAACGTAATTTCAATAGAATAACATATGTATTTTTTATTTTTTCCTCAATAATTCTAAAATTTTTAACTTAATAGATTAAATTTACATTTTAAAATGGGTAGTTTTTAATTTTAATTTAAAATTTTATCGTACAATTTAATACTTATTAGTTAGAATAAAATCTATTTTAGTATAAACCTAACTTTAAAGCAGTTAATAGTTATTATAACCTTACTTCGATGCCAAGTTTTTTGAATTCTCGTATACTTGTATTTTGATTGGTCATTCCAGCTCATGTAACAGCGTTTCCCCTTACGAGGGGTGGTTAATTAATTTGAACCTTTTAAAACCTTTATTCTACAATCTACATTCAACATCATCACTTGATAAGATACCAGAGGTGTTGAAACAAAATGGCTATTTTTGTAGTGATTTTATAACATATTTATGTTATAATTTTTAAATAAATAATTATATTCGCTCTACTCTGTATTGAGCACTCTTTTAAGAATAGTAATTTTTGGTTATTGGAATTTATTCCGTATACACCAATCCTATACTTGTATATATATAAATATACATATATATATATATATATATATATATATATATATATATATATATATATATATTAATGTGAGCGTTAGCTGATTGACGTTACTTTCAGCATCCCGACTCCAGAGTTTCGTAGGCGGACCTGTCCGTCTATTCTTCAAACGTTATCAGCACACACACACACACACACACACACACACACACACACATATATATATATATATATATATATATATATATATACTCAATTTAATTTTTAATAGATATTTTCATCCGACATCATTTATTATTATTACACACTTTTTCATTTGGATTTCTCAATCTACGCCTGTTGTTATTTTTTTCACTGTTTGAGAAAATTATAAAAAACCCCAGAATAACTCAAATACGTGTACCCTAAAAATTATAGTAATAATAATAATAATAATAATTATATATATATATATATATATATATATATATATATTAACAATTATAACAAAAACATGTTATAAACCGCTACATAAATGCAATCATGTTTCAGCACTGTAGGTGCTGCTTCAGGCGATTGGTGGTCAACTGGAAAATAATCATTTTATGGTTTAAAAGCAGCAATACGCTCACAGGGAGTGGGAAAGGGGAAAACTAAATTCTTAACATGCTATGCGAGGCGACCTCGATTAAACAATCAGATGTCGAACCTATGATGACTTCAAAGTTAACTTCTGTATGGGATTCCTGTTGGCTGTATAAGTTATTTAAAATCACACTTAGATGTTAACAAAGTGTCAAGTTTATAGTATTCTTTGGCCTTAGCTCAATAAAATAACATAAGAATATAAACTATCACGATGAAAGTAAAGAATATGTTTACCAATAAAAGTCTACGCCCCATATCTATGTCGGCGAGCAGTGACCATTAACTCGACAAGCTAAAACCCGACAAGGTGGCGGGTGTAAGGGCGGTGGGGAGAGATTATAGAAGAAGGGAAGTAGACAAGCCGTTAGATTTCGTCTCGAACGCATGAACCCGTAGTAAGTGAGCCGATGTTACTTATAGCTGGTGAACAAAAGGCAAGGCAAGCAAAATCCAACAATTTATTTTAATTATATATATATATATAATATTCATAAATATAAATAATATAAATGCATATAATATATATAAATATATATAATATTATATATATAAATAATATACATACATATATATTTAATATATTATATATATAAATATTTTTGGTTGGATAGATGTGAGTTTGTCCCCATTTTTTTTCAAAAATTTAAAAATAAATAATAATAATTTTTACCTATCATAATTTTACACAAACACCACCACACGCATATACATACATGCGAGGAAATATTTTCCAGCTGGAAAATACATATGACATGTACACATCAACGAGACATTTCCGCCACACTTCCAATGTTTAGATTTCAACATTTCAACATACAAATGCGTATGTATAGATATAACACCACTCGTATACATACATGTGTCATAGCCGAAACTGCCCACATATGTTTAGTTTATATATGTATGAGTCCCGACGGACGACCAAGTATGTATATGTGTCTGCATACATCGATGTTTGCGTTAGTACGATGAATGACAAAACGCAGAAATTTCCCCACCACTTCCACAATAACACCAATACACGCAATCTACATAAACCCAAATTTTTAAAACATTAATCAGTTTGTCTGACGATCGCTAAAGCGTGAAACCTAGGGTCACAAACTCACATCTATCCAACCAAATATGTTAACTCTATCTCTGATATTGAGCGCTTTCTAATAAGTACCGCGCATATAATATATAAATAATTATACATATATTTGTTTATATTTATATACACTTTTCACATATATATATATATATATATATATATATATATATATATATATATATATAATAATATATATATATATATATAATAATATATATATAAGTATATATGTGTAAAGTTTTCAAGTGGTCTTGTTGATGTACAATAAGACTAAATAGAGATAAAGACTTTCGTGTCGGTCAAAGTGTAACATTTAAAGTGACCAGAATCAAAAGAAACCATGAGAAAGATCATGAGCCAAAAAACAGAATCTGAAATCTGCATCATATACTTGTATATATGTTTATGTGTGTGTCTATGTATATTGTCTGTAAAATGTATACATACTTTTGCCCGCAAAACTATAACTACTTTAATAAAAAAAAAAAGCAATTGCTCTTAGAATTTGACAACACACATTTGAAAAATTATGTTTTTTCAGGTTATTTAAAGCCAGAAAGTATCTTTATATTATAAGAATTTTTGTTTTTGGAGATAATAATAGTTTAGTGATAAAAGTCTTATCCATAGCTGGGGGGGGTGTCAAGTGGTGGCTTCATACCTTTCTCAATGGTATTTTCGCGTAAATGAATATAACGAACCCAACGGCAATTGGAACCCGGCTCTCCGGTTAACAATTCGGAGGCATTATCCATTACACCACCCTTGCATCCAAGCTTACTGCATCTGGTATTCCCAAGTGGTCACCCATCGAAGTACTGACCAGGCTCGACGTTGTTTAATTCATGTGATCGTACGAGAACCGGTTTTTTCAACGTGATGTGGCCAGAAGCGTTGAAAATTTTGAAATTCCATTTGTGGCACTAAATTTACGAAAACGTGTATCTATATATCCACACGCCTATTCGAACGGAGTATAAAGTCGATGTTCCACGTAAACATGGGACCAAATGATAAAAATTGTTTAGTCCTATCGAAACGTTTCATTTTGGTTATCTCAGGAGCCAAGAATTAACCTTAAGCCTCCCATTTATTTAAATTGGAAAGTGTTGACTGGGGGTGACGGTTCCCTGGAACTGGACATTAGTTAACTCCCGCGTATCAAAAGGACAAGCAAGCGATATTTACAAAGACAAGTTGACATTTATCCGTAGAGTTACTCGATGTCTAACCCCCTCAGTATTTCCCCTTGTGGGGACTTTTCAAGTGCCAAGGAGTAACCTCAGTCCTTCCCCGTAGTAGAGGCATTATCTAGAATCAAACACACCTCCTCCGAAACTCGACTTCATTCCTCAAAACCGAAAACTCCAGAAGCAATATTTACGAAAATGAGTAGTCATTTAACGCGACTTTCATAGTCGAAATATTACCCCCCACCGCACCCAACCTAACCACTTGCCCATGTGTTTATCATGATGGCTGTTGACTCATTAAATGATGGTCATAAAAACGACAATGGCTCTTGAAGCCAGCAAATGTTTTGCAGATTTATTACACTGACAGAAGAAGATATCAATTGATAGTTGAGGATTTTGTTTTTTTTTTTGATTCGGTGGATATAGATTTTCAAGTATCTGGTCAGTTCAGATTTACTGAAACACGACTTACCACAGTGACAAACGTGTTTACAGCTAGGTCTCACTGTTTGACGTATCATGTTACTGGCGAGGCCAGCTTGGAATAAACAGACGTGTCTACATATATACGTACATGTGTTTTTGTAAAGTTATGAATATATTTACAAACTTATATGACTTTTAATTTTAGAGGAACAGTATCAAAATCCAGGAAATAATTTTGTAAGTTATTGATCTGTCCTTGGAAAAGAGCGCGCTAATGTATTAATGTGTTGAAGGCGTAGATTCACAGAATCTACGCCTTCAAGACATTAGTACTTATATCTCGAGTTTGTGGTATCACATCACATACCAGTTTTTTGTTTTGTACTAATACTATTCCAGCAGATAGTTTCTATTATAAGAATAACTACGTGTATGAATTACATAAAAATAGATCAGTTTAAAGAATTAGAAAATAACTAAATGGAAAATAATTTGAGAGTAGAAAAACAGGTCTTTTTACAAGATTTTTCGAGAATAATCTCACTCTATTATTTTCATCATTAAATAAATCAATTTCGTTTGGATTTTGTTTTAACCTTGAGTTTAAACAATTAAAAAACGATTTGTTTTAAAATAATTTCGAATATTTCTCTTATTTGGATTAAGTTAGTTTTGAGCGTAATTTTTGTAATTTTTTGTAGATTTAACAATATAATCTGCACCTTTTTAATATAAAATAAGAATTTAGCCGACTACAACTTAGTTAAACTACGGCATAGCATATGGTAACATCACATTGGGTGATCTCATCATAAATTGATTGGATTCAGCAATATTCCAAGATGTATCAAGGAACATTTTCATTTATTCCTGTCCACTGACAAACCCTTTTTTCTTGATATTACGCAACAAATTTACCCTCAAACCTTTCAAAAATCACCAGGTAAAAACTTCTAACATACGGTGTTATATCGTTGAATTCTCCCCCCTCTGCTAGACATACTTTATTCGTGGGAAAAATAACTAACACTAAGCAGGCAAATGGTGGATTATGGTAAAGAGATAAAGAAAACCAAAAAATTGTCTATGTGAGCAGGTTATTAAATTTCCTGACTTTCACTAAACTAAAAAGCATAACTTTGATTGTTATTTTTTTTTGTGTTGATTTTCTGTGACCTTTTGTGTTGTGAAGAATGTAATATAAAATTATTTGTGGCAAAATTTGTGTTGTATTCCAAAATTTGTGTTGTATTCCAAAATTTGTGTTGTATTCCAAAATTTGTGTTGTATTCCAAAATTTGTGTTGTATTCCAAAATTTGTGTTGTATTCCAAAATTTGTGTTGATTCAAAATTTGTGTTGTATTCTTTGTCAAAATAGTATTTTCTTCAAAAATTGTGTTGTATTCCAAAATTGTTGAATTAGACCCTATCGAATAGTATTTTCTCATAAAATAGTGTGCAGCAGAATTACCTCCCACATATACCTCCCACATATACCTCCCACATAATGATAAGACATTAACTAGATGAAGACACCATTGTCGCTAATGTCTTACCGTTGTGTGGGAGGTATTTCTGCAGCACCCTGTAATATAGTCACAGCCACTGAATTTTCTATATGTAAGATTTAAAATGAATTTTTAAAAATGAAAAAACATTCTTGAAGCTTTCATTTTAGCTTTAATTGAAACCTAAATGATTAAATTTTCGATTTCCAGTAAGCAAAATACTATGGTGCATTTCAAATAGAAATTATATTGATTGGAATCTCAACTTGTCCGCTTTCACAAAATCGGCCATTTTTGATACATTTGTAAACAAAAGTTAATTCTAGGTTTTAAAAATCTTCCAAAAATAAAATAAACCTTTTCTGAAACTTTATTTGAGGAATAATAGCTGATTTAAAGTATAATTAATCGTATTTGAAAAAAATATTATTTACTTTAAGTTAAAAATAACAGAGAAATGGAATTTTATACAAACGGCAGGGGTGATTGTTTTACGGAGATTTATCTGTTAAAACATAATTTAAGAAAATGACGGGTGACCACCCTTTTTATATGATTTTTAAGTACTCGGTAATCTTAAAAATATTGAAAGATATTCTCCGTAATCTAATTTTAGGAATCTGAATTAACATTCACTATAGTCATCGCTCTTATTTTCTGATAATATCATATGCTCGACCATACTTTCAAATTATTATATATATATATATATATATATATATATATATATATATATATATATATATATATGTGTGTGTAAATTAGAAAAAATATTGAGTGCAAACGACTTTTATTGAACTTTTCAATTTTTGATTCGTTAATATAGTTTTCACTTAATAACAATATCACCTAACCGGATTGAAGTAATGCAGAATTTTAAACGATTTATAATATTATAAATTATTATAATTAAAATTTAAAAAATGAAGACAATTCTTTTAATATTCATTATTCCTCGATTTTTTTTTCTGAAGACTATAGTGTCCTTAATAAATCATATTATAAAAGCAATTAAAAGCTTTTCTAATTAAATAATGTCATAGTTTTATTGTATTTTTAATTTTCGATGCAGATTTTCGGGAAATGAGTAGTAGTTTGAAAAAAAAATGATGATTTACATTCTCCAAGGAGTCCTACTTTTAACTAATAAAACAAATTTTGAGATAGCAATTTAATTTCTCGAAATTTTGTGAAATTGAATAAGTGGGGGTAACGTATGTAAAAAATATATATTTTTACCAAGATTTTTTTTAAAAAATTCAAAAATAATTTCATTCATTTGTGAATAATTTCTGAAAGTTTCATTAAAATTTGATTTTTGCAAGAATTTCCAAATCAATGTGTTTTTCACCGAAAAAAAAAAGGCGCAAAAACACTAATCGTAAATATTACATCGACTAATGACGTAAAAAACAAGATTTTTCTGCAAAAATTTCGAACGTGCTAGAAAGGATTTAAAAGATTAATAAAAACATATTTTGGTCTTTCCTCTTAATAATAACATAAACATTTTGACGATAAAACTTTGTTTAGGGCTTTTTTCATCATGTTATGTTGTTTTTTCAGAAAGCAAATGGAGTTTTCTACTGTAATATAATAGTCAAATTAGAATAGATTAGAATAACGTATAGATATATTTATACGCTCATATTTTTAAGAAGAAAGATCTGCATAAAATGTATTGAATAATAAATATTTATTAATGAATTTGTCGTTGGCAAGGTAAAGTATTGAAAACATCATTGAGAATCTAGGAAATTACTAAGTAGAATGAACTAAAATTTAATATTTAAAGTTCACCATTTATCAAAGTGAGAAAAATGATAAAGTCCCATGAGGCTCCTTCAACAGTGGCGTGTCTCTGCGGTGCCGTATTTTTACTGAGGTTTTGGTGCTGTTCTTTTAACTTCTTTCTTTTTATAGTTACACCGATCAAATAGTACAGCAAGGGTCGGCAAACTACGGATCCGGCCCGCGAAGGCATTTTGACCGGCCCGCGAGCCTGATTACCAATGACTCTATTTTTAATATGAGAGACGAGGCTTTCGAATTAGACTATCTGCCAGTTATCTTTCATGTGGCTTATTTTACCAAGTTGTGTTGCCTACTTTTAATGTCAAATAATGGATACATATTTTTTATGAACCTTGGCTACATTAAAAGATAACAGAAGCGAAAGGAACGATAAAGTGAATGAGGTCAGGGAGGGACTGACATTCGAGGTAGCAGAAATCTAAAGACAGTTAAACATACGCGCATTATACATACATGCCTAATGAATGTGTGGATGATACCGCAAGTGTATTTATGTAATTGCATATGTTTGCAACTATTTGTACTCGTATGTATGGGTATATGTGCTTCGTTTTTGTTTGATGTATGTGTGTGTGTGGTTCATTTGTGGAACAATTTTCAATAGCAGTTTCAACCCTACATGTCATAATTTCATCCATTTCACTTCGGTTGATTTTTTTCACTTTGAAGTATTTTGACGTTACTTGAGGAGAAGTAATTTTTATTAGGTGTGTTTTTTTTTAATTTTAGATTTTCTTTTGTTTTTTCTGATTTCTCAATGTTTATTTTCATTATGGCTTTGAATATTTAGGTTGACAGGGATTTGCATATGTAATTTTCCTTAATTTTTCATTAATGGCCTTCGTCCGGTCCGCGACCCGCCATTATAACACGATCCGGCCCGCGGGGTCGAATGAGTTGCCGACCCCTGTAGTACAGTAAGCGACAAGTAATAAATTACTCTC